CCTGTTCTTTACCTTCTACTTCTAGTCCCCTAATCATCTTTGTTGCTCTTCTCTGTACTCTTTCTAAAGTATCAACATTTTTAAAAATATTGTTGTAACCAAAACTGGATTCGATATTCCCAGTGCGGTCTTTACCAAGGCATTATAAAGAGGCAGTAACACTTTACGTGATCTTGATTCTATCCCTCTGTTAATGCAGCCTAGGACTTCAAGCATATCTGATCCAGCTTTGTCCTGAATGCATCTCCAAATGGACTGAGAAAGATCACTGATTGTAAAATTACGCATTAGAGCCGTGCAAATCTCTCCCACAAAATCCTGCGCAATGGATTGGAAACAAGTCTATGAAAGAAGTAGCCTCATTTCCCCTCCCCCCTTCAGACTAGCATACAGCCGTTGCCGCCTAAGATGCTCCTGGCTGTGCATGTGCTCACACTGCTGCTTTCTTTCTTTTTCTTCCTTCTTCACTGTGAGGCCAAAGGATTGTGTGCACACATGCAGAGGAGCAGCTAACAAAGGCTGGGGGGAAAAAAGGAGGTAGCTGCTTAAATAACCCAAGGAAAAGTATTTAGCCCATGCTGCTACCCATTGCAGAATAGTTCTTTGGAAGGACTGAAACAGATCTGTTAGTAACATGGACCATTGGATTTTCCTTTTATTTTGGTTAAACACCCCCCCCCCCACAATACACATACCCTCTAGTGGGGTAGATTAAATATTGCTTGGAGTTGATCTTCCACATCTCACATGAAAGGGAGAGTGACTGCAAATGATAGTAATAAGCCAAACCTTGCCAAAGCATCACACAACTAACAGTGGAAAATTTAAAGAGGATTATTGCTATGTTTTCAATCCCTTTCAACTAAAATCTTAGGTTTTTTTTTTGGCACACTTGCAACCATTTCTATGTTGGCCACAACTGCACCATCTAAGCCATAGAGCTGAGAAGCAAGGGACCTTAGAGGTAATCTATTCCCACCCCCTGGTTTAAGGCAGGAGATCTTACACCATCCTGGACAAAAGGCTCTCCAATCTATCAATCAACCAACAACCAATACATCCAGTTTTGGTCACCACATTACAAAAAAGATGTTGAGACTTTGGAAAAAGTGTGCAGAGAAGAGCAACTAAGAGGATTAAAGGCCTGGAGAATAAAACATGAAGAACAGTTGCAGGATTTGGGTTTGGCTAATCTAGAGAAAAGGAGGATTAAGAGTGACATGATAGTATACCACAAAGAAGGGGGGGGGTGTCAACTTTTTTTCCAAAACACCAGAGGGCAGGACAAGAAGCAATGGAAACTAAACGAGAAGAGAAGCAACTTGGAATTAAGGAGGAATTTTCTAACAGTAAGGACAATTAACCAGTGTTAACGTTTTGCCTTCTGAAGTTGTGGGTGCGTCATGACTGCAGGTTTTAAGAAGGTATTGAACTACCACCGGTCTGAAATGGTAGGGTCTCCTGCTTGAGGAGATTGTCTAGATGACCTCTAAGGTCCCTTACAGCTCTAATCTATTTTATAAATACAAGCCAGGTTCTGCTAAGGCTTGTAATTAGGGTGGATGGTAGGGAAACATTTCAAGCTGGGTTCTGCTAATTCAACTTTCAACTGGACTCTAGACACTCTTAGTGACTCTCGACAAGCAGCATTCAGCATTAGAACTCTTTCATTCGTTCTTTGGACTCAAGTGCCGAGACAAAAAGGGAACATGATCAGAAACTGGCCTCAATATGAACAAGCAAGAATTTTTCATTTTCGGCTAAGACCTCAATTCAATGTAGAGGCAATGTAGACAGGTGAAAACGTCAAAATAGTTGTGTCCTTTGGGGAAACCTAGTCAGTTCTTTGGATCTCAAGACATTTTAATTTATTTATGGAACCAAATCACAACCAAAGTGGAGGATGTTGCTGGTACACAATCTAATCAAGTCTGTAAGAGTAGTTAAATTTCCTTACCCTATCTGATCACGGCCTAGACTTCAGAAATCCTGCTGTCATTCCTTTTTGATCCACCGTTCTGCCAATCCAGAACATCAGGCTTGATAAAAATCATGATTAATATGTGGCAAGGCTAATCATGCAAACACATCCAGCATAGAGAACGAAGGCCAAAAAGAGGGGCGCTTCTAATTGTTCCTAAAATGAATCAAACTACACTGCAGTAGCAGCTGTCATTCCAACCTATCCCCAGAAGGCTGTTGTGAGAAAAGGGATATTGGAAGGATGCTTTGTCCATCATCCTTGGCTCTTTTCAAGACAAACATTTAATCCAAAACAAAGGCCCTGTCCTCCTCTCTTGAATTTCCCTTGGGAAACGGCTAATTTTGGTGCAAATATATTATGGAAAACCTTGTCATCCCATGTTGTGACTCTTACTGCAAATGACAACTGTCAGAAATCTAACAGAGGCACTCCTTAAAGAATCGGGGTACCGATTCACACCTAAGGCTTCCCTTCAATTTTTAAATTCTGATTAAAGGTACCCCCTGTTCCATCAGTCTCAAAGCAGAATTCTCAAGACAGCGTGCTAATAATAACAGAAACGAAAAAACAAAATAAAACCTTTGAAAAAACCAAAAGAAGAGTTTATAAAAAAATATTTCCAGAAAATATAAAATAGAAACCCATGGAAAATTAAAAAAGAAAATAATAATTAACATTCCCCCCGAAACATATATTTTTTTTATTCACAACATTTCTTTTGCAAGGAGATAGAACTGAATATATGTTTGAATGTGCATGGTATGTGTGTAAAAGGAAGGGGAGGGAATAATGAAAAACAGGCTTTTAAGATCAAAACACTTTCGTTTTTTTGATTTTTTTTGTTTATATAGCAAACAGTTATTATACAATAATAGAACCCCTGAAATTCAGATTGGAACCTGGTCTCACGTCCCCCTCCCTCCCCACTTGTAGAGTCCCTTGGGGTCAGGATGGAGATGTGCAGATTAAACATCACGGAGACACATCGCTCCAAAAACTGGATTTTTACATTTTTATTTCACCCCCTTGCTTTCTTTCCCATCCCCAGCAGTCTTTGCCTCAATTTCTAAGTGAGGAACAGTTAAGAGTCTATTGAAGATTAAAGTTGTAGCTGGAGAATAAACAATTAATCGGTGGGAGATGGTGGTGGTGGTGGAAATATAAGCTTTGGTCCACTGAGTTGAGGGGATGCACTCGGCGTGTTTGTGCGTGCGTTTCTGTGGGCCGGGGAGACCTATGGAACAGCTCAGCCTTACCCAACTTCTCTAAGGGATGGTGGACCACAATATCTACCACTAGCAGCCAACAAACAGGCTGGTTGAAAACACCAGGATGTAGACTCCAATACATCGGAGGTTCAAGATTGATGGGAGTCTTGGAATACTTTCTGAAGCTACATCTGTGGGGAGGGGAGACACCAGACATGTTTCTCCATGTTCCTTTTCCATTGGGATTGAGAGACGGGCCTGCACCTCTGATGCAAGCACCGGTCTTTGGAGTGGTAATGGGTGAGGAAAATTGAGGTGAGGGTTAGGGCGATGGAGGGGGGGGGGGCGCGATCACTTGTGTCCATCTCTATCCAGCACTGAGCCACAGATGCCTCTCCGCACTGGTCCAGTGGGCTTCCCGCCCAATATGTGCAGTCCCTAAAGCAGCAGTCTAGAGCAGGAGTGGGCAACGATGGCCCCTTTACCACCTGTGGACTTCGACTCCCAGAATTCCTGAGTCAACATGGCTGCCTCAGGAATTCTCGGAGTTGAAGTTCATGGATCATAAAAGGGCCGTAATTTGCCCACCCTTTCTCCAGAACAATAATGCAACCCTGGGATGACATTCCCACATTTTTCCCTCTCACTCTTCACCGTTTCTTTTTAAACCTGAGGTATTTTTCTTTTCTTTTTTTTTCAAGAGTTAAAACATCCATTAAAAAAAAACAATGGTAAAAATAATAATAAACAAACCTCAAAAGATATGCTTGAAAAGAGCATTTCCCTTGGCTGCTGCCACTCTCCTTCTGAGAAGAAGCGGACTACGGGAGGGTCACCAGGGCAGGTCCCCCTCCCCAAATATCTGGAGCTAGATGGCTCTTCCCTCTTAGTGTAGACATCTCCTTTTACATGAAGGAGAAATGAAGAGTGGAGGCCCAAAACCGACAAGGAGGCTTGTTATGTGGAATGAAACCCAGTTTCCTTGTTTGCACCATGTGGGAGTGTGGGAATGGGACGTGGGCTGGACCACTAAATTGAGGACAGGCCATACAGTACATGTTTATGCTGTGCCATAAGATCTGGAAGAGACCCACTGACACCCTCCCTCAAATATACAACATTTCCACCAAAACGTAGCCCCAAAGCCTCCACTCCTCAAAATTGTTTAATACTTGCTCTGTAAGAGTTTTGAGTAAAGGAGAGAACACTCCTAGGCAGAAGGGAAAAAAAGAAAGAAAGAAAGAAAGAAAAGCTCCAGAAATGGAGGTGAAGGAGGAAAAATTAAGATACCTTGGCCCTCTTTGGTTAATGGAGCGAGAGGGAAGGACTTTGTTGAATCAGACAAATGAAAAAACAAAAACAAAAAACCAATTTTCTTAAAACAATAAAAAAGCACCCAATAGAACTGTAAAAATAATAATAATAAAAAAAACACAACCCAACACCGAAAACCTCGCCTCCGATTCCACAAGCTATCGCTGCGTTTTTTTTCAAGTAATGCTTTAGTAATAAATGAACGTTCAAGTATATATTTAAAAGAAAAATAAAATAAGATACGTGACCAAATTGAAAATCAGTCTTGTGCCATCCTCCCCTCCCTAACGCATACAGAAAGGTGGTGCGTGTCTGATGCCATCTGAAAATCCAGATGAAACACAGGGTGAGAAGGAAGGCGGGTAAGGTGAGGGAGGAAAAAGAGAGAGAGAGAGAGAGAAAGAGAGAGGGAAGGGAAGGGAGAGAAGAAAGGGAAGGGAGAGAGGGGAGGGCTTTTGAAGGTAAAAAAACCACAACAACCCCGTTCTAGCAAAAAAAAAAAAAAAAAGGAGGGGGGATGGTGGAAATCAGAGATAAGAGAAGAAATGAAAGAGTGAAAGCGAAATGGACAGAATTGGGCACCTTTAAGAGAGAAGGAGTCCCCCACTTGACCCCAAAGACGGATGTGGCCAAAGGGACGGAGAGAGCAGCATTGTGCTCCCGCCTCCAAGCAGAAGGAGCAAAAACGACCGACAAAAGGCCCAGCGTCGATCCAGGACATTCGTTTTGCACCACTTTTCTTTTCTACAGTATTTCTCTCCCCCCCACACCTTTAAAAGAAGAGAGAGGGGGGTGGGAATCCCACATGCATACATACCCAACACACACATACGCACGCACACCCGAACAACTGGACGGAAGGGGTGGGGTTTCAAGTTTGAGATTCGGAGGCAGTGGAGAGCGGCTGGAATTAAGAGAAGGCCCGGCCAACTCCTGCGCAACAATAATTGGCACTGTGGGTAAGGAACGCAGGCAGGATTCCCCCCCCCCAGCCCCCCCCCCCCCCCCCCCCGTCCCCAAAGTGGTTATTAAAGCTTATGGTCCAAAAGAATAAAAGCCAATGAATGGGAAGGGAGGTTCGGATGGGAAGCTGCGAGGACTTTTCCTGTCCAGAATCGAAAAGGAGGAATTTGAAGAAGAGAGGAGAAACGGGAAGAACGGACTTTTCTGGGGAGAAGTGCTGGGAAGCCTTGGGGCAAAGCGCTGGGCACAGAAGGTGGGACAACAGAGTTGGAAAGAGCTGCATGATCCATCCAGCCTGCCAAGGTGGGATGAAAACAGCCTGGGAGGAAATTTCCTTCAGGAAGAACCCAGAGGCCTGATAGAATACTGTAGAGTTCTGTTTTTGTTTTTCAACCTCAACAACTTTTAAGACGTGCTGACTTCAATTCCCAGAATTCATGCTGGCTGGGAGATTCTGGGAGTTGAAGTCCACCCATCTTAATAGTTGAGAAACACTGTGAGGAGCAGACGCGTTGCCTGAGGGGGCCTGGAGGGAGAGGGAAGAGAGGACTGTTAAGGCCTCTCCTCCAAAGAAGGATCCCAAGGCATGCCAAGCGAGACAGGTGGTTTAGCTCCTCCCTTTCACACATGCCAAATTTACTCCTTTCTTTTGGACAAAGTATTCTGCCTTGCCCCTCTGCTTGGTGAGGGACTCCGTCCACACGGGTGGCTTGCGAGAGCATGCATATGTAGGTTTAATGCGTAAACAAGACAGCAGCAGGTACACTGTGCATATAGAAAGCAGCACGTGTTTCACGGTGTGGGCATCCACATCTGGCGGGGCTGCATCTCCCCAGGAAGCCTCAGCTGTATACTGGGATCAGCTGGGAAGGAGAGTTAGGAGAAGAAAATCTAAGGGGAAGGGCACCTTTAGAGATGTTTTCTGGCCTCCCACTGGTGGGGGAGGGGAGAATTAGGGGTACAACGGGCACCGATGCAGGAAGCAGATCAAATGGATGTGCTGGCTCCAGAAACCATCCGGTGCTGTGGGAAAGAGAGACAGCGGTAGAGGCAGGTGGGAGACCCAGCGGACACACAGCTGGGAAAAGACAGGGCAAAGGAATCCGTAAATATCAGCTGCCTGGTTCTTGCTTGGCCCCCTTGGAAAACCACACTGCGGATGCACAACTGGAGAGAGAAAGCTGAAGAAAGGAACTGGGTGGGCAGACTGACAAGCACGCACACGCACGCACACACAAGCACCCTTAAAAAAATCATCAAGGCAGCATGTGGGAGGGGCGGAAGGACTGATGAGGTTGGAGTGCACATTTGCATTGGGCGAGGAACGGCGTAGGAAAAAAAAAAACGTAATATATCCGACCCCGTCGAAGAAGCTGCCTTCCTCCCGAGCCAGCATTTCAAGGCTGGATGTCAATTCCCACCCTCCCCTGCCCGCCCCGAGATAGCAGGGTGTACCAATGGTGGCACGGAAGGACATTTGGAAGCGTGGGGGAGGGGGGGGAGAGGGGGAACGACGCAGTGCATGATGGGAGGAATATGCATTTCCCCAGCTTTGTAAAGCGACAAGGCTACCTCGGACCCCACTTACTCCCCGGCTGTCCAGGAACAAGTGGATTGAGCAGAAGGCCACCTGGCCCTCAGCAGGCCAGGCCTGGGGAAGGGGGAACGACACCCCCTCCTCCCCGGCACTCTCTTTGCTGCACAAGTAAGGGGGTGGAGATGCCACTCCGGTTCAGTGCATGGCTTTAAGTAAAAAGGTTCTCTCAGAGTCCGTTTCTGACGGTCGGATTAGTGAAGCTGAGTCTTTCTGCGCCTCCACCCCAGAGCGAGTATTAGCTGTCCTTCAGCAGCAATTTCTCCTCAGGGCAACGAAAAGGAGGTGAGGATGTGCCGGGGGCGGGGGGCACGGCGCCACTGTTGGAGACCGAGTCCTCGGCGAATCGGGCACAGGCCTCTGTCGTGATGTGGTGACAGGAACGCAGGTCGATACGGGAGAGGCGTGGACAGCGGCGGAAAAGGGGCAGACACTGATCCGTCAGCCGGTTACATCCTATCAGGGAAGGAAGAAGAAATAGCTGTAGCACTTAAGACTTATATACCGCCCCGCGCTACTTTACAGCAGGGGGTCCCCAACCCCTGGTCTGGCAGCATGCCAGAAACATGTTCGCGCAAATAAGTGGAGCGGGATGCAGGAAGCATGTGAAACCATGCCCCTTCCGGTCCACAGAGAAACCTCTCTTCACGGAACTGGTCCCTGGTGCCCATAAGGTTGGGGGCCACTGCTTTAGAGCACTCACTTGATGTCAGCGTATTGCCACCAACAATCTGGGTCCTCATTTTACCGACCTCGGAAGGATTTAAGGCTGAGACAACCATCAGGATCGAACTCCAGGCTGTGGGCAGAGTTTGCCTGCAATACTGCATTCTAACCTCTGCGACACCAAGGGTCCTCCAGAACAGGAAGCCATGAAGTAACATTGGTTTGAGACCATTTTCTGAGATCACAAGATAGCACTGGTTTGTTCAGATCCTACTGTGGGGAGATGGGGACTGGCTCAGGAAACTGGGCAGGAATTGGGGCTGCTTTTATAGGGGGAAAGACAATTCGCCCCTACAAATTAGCAACAGCCACATTCTTAGGAATGTAGACAGGGGGAAGGGTGGCGATGGAACAGTGGGATAATGTCATGGCCACTACAAGTAGCTCTCAACCTACAATCATAATTCTGCCTGGAATTACGGTTGTAAGTCATGATGGTTGTTAAGCAGATTTGTTTAATAATCATGCGGTTTGCTTAACAACTGCCATAAAAAGTGCTGTAAAATCGGGTCTGGCTTGATTTATGACTGCAACAGAAGCTCCAGTCCCAATAGTGAACCTAAATCAAGGACTATCAATACTGTCCAAAGTCCCTACCTGGTAATGGGACCTGGAGAAGAGGCAACAGGGAGAAAAACAGGGGTTGTAAAGGTGCCATGGAAGAAAAAAAAAATGATGGAGAATCATTGGGACAGATGTTCAACTCCTTAACCACTGCGTTGTTCTTCTCTTAGGAGGCTGCATCATTTCGATGCCCACTCAAGCAGAAGAGATGGAATTGCTAGTACCATGTTTCCCTGAAAATAAGATTCTGTCTTATAAAAAATTTTTGCCACTAAAAAAGGCAGCAAGCCTTATTTTGGGGGGATATCATCCACTGACTAACCTCACTTTTGCATGTCGCCCCCAGCCTCCTTTTCGCTGTCAGAGGCCTTCAGGAACTTCTTTTTCTGCGACTGGCAAGGCTTTTCTGAAGGCCTCTGCAGCCAATAACGGAGCTCTGTTATCGGCTGCAGAGGCCTTCAGGAAAGCCTTGCCAGCCTTGAAGAAGAAATGGGCCAGAAAGGCAGGTGTTGGGGTGTGCAAGGCCTGGCTGCAACTGTCTGAAGGTATTAGGGTAGCGCCATCCCCCACATCCCCATCCTAGCTTACTTTTTACCTGTGCACCTTGGAGTGGGCGGGGTATTAATTAGGGCTTATTTTGGGGGTAAGGCTTACATTGGGTACACATGTAAAAATCAAGATAGGACTTACTTTCAGGGTAGGTCATATTTTTGGGGAAACATGGTAGGGATTCGACTCACCGGTGAGGTTGAGTTCAGCGAGTGTCTCTCGGAGTGGAGAATTAGCAGCGGTCAGCAGGTTAACAGACTGGTCACCTACATGGTTGCAGTGGCTCAGGTCCAGTTTGGCAAGCTGAGGGGTGTGCCGGATTACCAAGCGTAGAGATGAATCTGTGATGTCCAGACCAGAGAGCCGTAGTTCAGAGACATTCTGGAGCCGGCCCCGGCTGTCTGTGTGGCCTAGCAGGGTGAGAATAGAGAAGGGAATGAGCCTCATGGGACCTCTGCCCTAAATGGCAGATGCATGACTTGGAAAGCATGTTTTAACAGGCTTGGGCAAAACAGCACACGTTTGTTTCACTGGAGTCGATCAGATTTTTCCCCCTGAAACAAAGAAGCCATCCAGCTCTCTGAAATCAAGTGAATTAAATCAAACTGGCTTTTGGCAGAATTGCTTTGGGATCATTCACACTGTCCGTGAGGTTTGCCATGCTCCGACAGGGCTCCAGGTGAAGGACCTCCAGTGCACAATGCATTCCCAGCCTGGAAGCACTCAACCAGCGGTGCAGGGAAGGATCCTCTTAGCCTTCTCCCATACCTTTAAGCCCTTGCTCATCTCTTCCCTACAGGAGGGCCATGAAAGGAGATGTTCCGCCCTGCTGCCTCTCCCAGCCACATGCCTTTAAAAGCAGCTTCAGGGTGAGTGATATCCCACATGTGCTGAGGAAGCTGCAGGCTAACCACCCCTAGCAATTTTAGTAGCCCAAACTTGAAGGCTCCTCGGGGCATGGGAAGGACACTGGGCTTGGTGCCTCAAGCAAGCAAGCATGCAGCAGCAGCATCTGTGGCTGTTCAGGTCTGGGACACCCGAGTTCACAGTTCAAGAATTCGGACTCGGCTACTCCAGCCTGCAGTGGCCCCAAAGGCCCTGACATGAGCTGAGAGATTTCTGAGACACAATAGCTGGGTTGGAGATAGCAGGCAATCCTATGCCAGAAGGGATCAGCATCAAGATTTAGTGTGCAGAGAGAAGCCTCTGAGGCTGGGCTCTATCGCCAGATAAAGAAGGCTTGGAGCTTAGCACTACTGACCCCACGGAGCAGAGTAGCCCAGCAGCTGTGCCAGGGCCCCCACAAAGGGGTAGACCAGAAGGTTTGCAGAATAATCGACCTACGTTTTGTCCAAATATGAGGAAAAACTTCTTGGTGGACAGATCTGTATGCCTGTGGATTTTCCATTTCTAGAGTTTTTGAAGAAGAGGCTGGACAAGCCGCTTCCCAGGGATGGTTTAACAGGTTCACCTGGGTGTCGTGGAGGACTTTGCCGGAGGATCCCAGTCATTCCTTCTGATTTTACCATATCTGTAGGAGATGACCAGGCTGACCCCAAGGGAGGCGTCAAATGTGTCATGAATCCCTTTGCACCCATGAGATATCTAAGTCCAGACCCTTGAGAATTCCTTATTTACCACCAAATTGCTTTCAACGTTAATAGTTTATTAATAGATTCTTGTAGAGAGCTTAAAACTGATAATAAATCTTTATTTCCATTTACCCGGATGTCCTGACTTCTCTGGTGCTTGACAGTACCCAACATCTTTAACACAAAGGCCCACATAACACTCTGAATCATAAACTGCCCCTATTATGGGCTGCGTTGTGCAATACGAGAGGTGAAAATGGGAATGGCTAGTTTGCAACTCAGTGTGCTATCTGAGTACAGCCGATGTTGGTTCAACTCAGAGCAGGGGCTGATAGTTTTTCTAGAGGCTTATAATCGGCCTGCTACCAGAACCGCTTTTGAAGACTGGCAAAGCCTTGAGAGATTTCATGCGGCAATGTCAACATCCCACAAGATTTCAGCTGTTCTTACATGCGGGTATTTTACAAAAAAATCTGTGGAAAGGAAAGGAAAAGAAAGAGGGTGCCGGAGGGTATGTTTGGATTGCCTTGCAGGTTTTCCCACTTCCTTGGGATGTGAAGAAAAGGTGGTAAAACAGCTGCCTAGGTATCCCAGACCCCGCTCTGTCCTAGAGACTAATTTCCCTCCAGTTCAGGTAGCTTTACCAGGCTTGGAATCTGTGGCAGGCAAGAGCAGCTCACGGAGGTGAGAATCCTTGACATCCTCAATCCAACGCAAATCTAGGAGCTGTAGGGAGGGGAAGTTGGCTGTGCTGAGGGCCGACACAGAGCACCAAGAGCAGCCTGTTAGGATGAGCTCCTTAAGGCCTGTTGGGAGAAGAGAACATTGAGTGGGGGAAAGAGAACCTCACAAACCAACTGTTCCTCTCTGCTTCGAAAGAAACCCACGGCTCCTTCCCCTGTATTCACACCATGAACTCATCTTTCTACCCCAAAATTCTGATTTATGGCTCCCAGCTCACATCCTGTCCTACACGACAGAATTCCCCAACATTTCTGGCTTTGCAGACCGGGTGGGAGGGGATAGTTTATGCAAACGGCCAGCAAGCGCAAGCCTGCGCAGCTCCATTTACATGAGCAAGTGCATGCTCGCCTGCCACTCATGCAAATGGAGCACGCAAACGCATCCCAGTCCAGTAGTGGGCTGTGGCCCATAGGTTGGGGATCCCAGCTCTACGAGGTTTCTGGGAATGCTCCTACTCTTTCTTATGGGCCAATTTTTTTTCTTTATCCCACAGACCACGGTGGGTGTCCTGATTTTGCTCTTGTCCTCATATTCCACCCCTTTCCCATAACTGAGCTGCGCAACCTGCGTCAAGAACAAGTTCTCAGCCACATGCCACATCCCTGCCGCCACTTGAGACAATGCAAGTGAAAAGAAAATAATCACAGGATTCAGAGCTATTAAACCTCATCAAACCTTCCCAGTCCACACAGACAGCTTGAGATTGTGGCTCTGGCCACACGCAGAAAAGCAGCAGCGTTCTCAACCAATCAAACAAAACAGAGCTGGAAGGGACCTTCAAGGTCTTCTAGTCCAACCCCCCTGCACAAACAGGAGACCCTATGCTATTTCAGACAAGGGACTATCCAGTCTCTCCAGTCATTATGCCGTCTTGTAAATTTGCAGGATTTTTTTTTTTTTTTGCTGTGTATAGATATATCCTTGAACTAGACTGTGATATTTCTCTGTGTCATATATATGTGTGTCTGAGGGTTTATGCTTAATGCTTATCTTTTGAGAGATGAATGCAACGAAATTTCATTTTAATGTATGTTGATTATTTTATATTTAAAGTGACAATAAAGTTTTGTTTTATTCCATTCCATTGCATTCGATTCTTAAAAGCCTCCAGTGAAGAAGCACCCACGACGTCTGAAGACAAGTTGTCTTCTCTGGTAGGAAGTTTCTCCTTAATTCCAGGTTGTTCCTCTCTTTGATTAGTTTCCACCCCACCACCAGCACCACCTGTCGTTTGAATTAGGGCACCCAGGGTCATCACTGCAGTGGAAATTAGCCTGGCACAGGTTCTTTGCTTCTTGAATTTGTTTCAAATTAAGAATTTTCTGTGCCCAGAAATTCTGCCTATCTGTCCCTTGTCCTTTGCCTAGACCGTTCAATTACCTTTTGGTATATCCAGATTAACACAAAGTGCGGGACCTTCAGACCACGAAAAACCTCACTCCACAATGCCCCCCAATCCTAAGGGGTTTAGCCAACCTAGATAGAGGAAGCCTCAAGGACTTTGTTCAGGTTTAAACAAAGCCACCTGGTTCACTTTTCCTCAATTAAATATGCTGAGTTGAATAACCTCTGAAATTTACATTTCTTGATTCAAACACATCCTTGTTCCAAATGGAATTCAAATCTGGTGAGATTTGTCTTCACTAGAACTAGTCCTTGACTTATGACCACAATAGAACCCAAAATTTGTTGCTATGTGAGACATTTGTTAAAGGGAATTTTGCCTTTCTTGCCACAGTTGTTAAGTGAATCATTGCAGCTGTTAAGCGGGTAATAGTTTGTAAGTGAATCTGGCTTCCCCACTGACTTTGCTTGTCAGAAGGTCGCTAAAGGGAACCACAGAACCTCGGGACCCTGCAACCGTCATAACCATGAGACGGTTGCCAAGCATCCAAATTTTGATCATGCGACCATGGGGGATGCTGCAACGGTTGTGAGAAAAACCATCACAAGTCACTTTTTTCAGTGCTGTTGTAACTTGAAACAGCCACTAAACGAATGGTTCTAAGTCAAGGACTATCTGTAGTGATTTTGGCCAGGTTTTTGTTTTTTGTTTTAAACGTGTGGGTTCTCCTCTCTGGATGGCATCTGGGAGTTTTGCAGGATTGTCAACCCACTGAAACAACCGGATTTGGAAATGTAAGTGCTGCAAATGGGGGGCTTAGCCAATAAGGAAGCGCTGGCTACCAACCTTCCTCTCTCTCTCTCTCTCCCTTAAGCCTCTCCCCCGCACCTCCCAATTCGTCCCCCAAATACCTTGCAACCTGTTCAGAAGCCACATTAGCTGCTTCTTAGAAATGTTGGTCCAGCTCAGATCAAGACTGGCTGGCTGTCGTCGGATGATTCCGCTCAGCATGGAGGGAGTGATAGATTTCCGATGGCTCAAGTCAATGTATGTCCAAAGCCGCTTGTCACAGCACCTGGGAGGAAGGAAGCATAGCCAAAAGGAGGCAATGATTCATTGAGCTCCAGAATCATTAGAGTTGGGAAGAATTACAGGTAGTTCTCGGTTTATGGCCGCAAAAGAGCCCAAAATATCTTACTGTTAAGAGAGACATTTATTGTTCTTCTTCCGTCATCGGACGCTGGCGATCATGTTGGCGATCCTATTTGTTAAGTGTCTTTCCCACCCCCATTTTACGACTTTTCTTGTCACAGTTGTTAAGTGACTCACAGCAGCTGATAAGTTAGCAGCCCGGTTGTTAAGTGAATCTGGCTTCCCCATTGACTTTGCTCATCAGAAGGTCGCAAAAATTGATCACGTGACCTTTGGGACATAGCCATAAGTATGAACTGGCTGCCAAGCATCTGAATTTTGATCACAGGATTATGGGGATGCTTGCAAAGCTCGTAACGGTTGTTAAGTCCTTTTTTTTCAGTGCCGTTGTAACTTTGAATTGTCACAGAACGAACTGCTGTTAAATCAAGGACTACCTGCATTTCTGATTCCTCAGCGGCGGAATCCAAATGAAAGCATCCCAGAGAGATGGCTGTCCAGCTTCCATTTGAGTGCGCGCATTAAAAGTCTCCCACCACTTCTGCAGGTGGCTGCTTCCATTGCTTTAACTGCTTTTATAGTTAGGAACTTTTATCCTAGCAATTGAATTGAAATCTGCCACCTTATAAGTTAAATCCAATATTTTGGCCCTGGACTCTAGAATGTTTTGGTTCTTAAGTGTTATCTTTTCAAGTACTTGAATGCTACAATATCCCCTACCCAGATTAATCAGCCTCTCTCTTATTTTCAAATTCCCTAATTTTTTTTTGCTATTCTTTGTAGTTATAGTGTGGTTCCCCAAACGAAACAGGGTGTTCAAAACAGTCCTGAACAAAGCAGGATAAAAGAAAACAATTCCTTCCCATGATTTGAAAATTACGCCTCTACTAATAGCACTCCAAACCTGCACTTTTACATCTAATTGTTCGTCATAGAAAATCTTTTTCAGAAGTTGTTTTTACCAAGCCAGATATTCTCCTTTCCACCCTTGTACATTTGACCTTTTTGAACAAAATTTAACTTGTTTGGGTTAAAATTCATTCTTAAAGTTTTCGGTAGATTTGTTCTACTTTATCAAGGCTGAATTTTGTTTCTCAAGGATATATATGACAGAGTCTGTTTCTTGGCTGTGCTAACTGCATTTTTGTGTGATTTTTTTTTTTGCCAGCTGCTGTATACATATGTTTTTTGTAACCCTTTTTTACCTACTTTTAATATACTTAAGTCTTCCATGCATTTGAAATGGTCCTATCAATCTAATAAAATATACAAAATAAATACATTACTCATAAAAAATAAAAAAGTAACTTTTGCCCTGGCCCCGTCTGTTACTGGGGTGCCTGATGTCTGACATGCTATTTAAAATGCAAACAATCTGCATAAAAGTTATATATCCCTCAATTAAAGCTTTGATTCATTAATAACCATATTATATTCAGAGGGAACACAAAGTTATTCAGAAGCAGGTACATAAAAGATTGCCTTTATCTATTGGTACGATGCTGTTGAGGTCAGCTGGAGCAGAAGCATTTATATTTTATGACATATTATTACAGAAATAAGTCTTCAACTTTGACACGCTGTCTGAGCCAGGTAGTTGGTCACCGGGAACAAAGGTTTAGCCTTCTGAGCTTTCGGACTTGTGCTGGACATCCACAGGGAACTTCTCCCTCATCTTTCTGTTCACCTGAGGATGAACTCCAAGATGAGCCCAAAAGTTCAGAAGACTAAACCTCTGCTCCCAGTGACTGACCCCCAACATTATCCTGGGACACATGTATTTGCCTTCATTTGTCAGTTTTTAATGTCGTTAAAGGTTGGCTTCATCATGGGTTCCTGGGTATATGAGCTGTGGTGGTACAGTGGTTAGAATGCAGTACTGCAAGCTAATTCTGCTGCCTGCAGATCGAATCCCAACAGGCTCAAGGTTGACTCAGCCTTTCATCCTTCCGAGATCAGTAAAATGACGACCCAGATTGTAGGGGGAAGACATCCTGACTCTGTCAACAGCTTAGAAAAGGTTATAAAGCAGGGTGAAGTGGTATATAAGTCTAAGCGCTATTGCTAACTCTGCCCACTGCCAGGAGTTTGATTCTGACCGGCTCAACGTTGACTCAGCCTTCCATGGTTGGTAAAATGAGGATCAAAACTGTTGGGGGCAGTATGCTGACTCTGTAAACTGCTTAGAGAGGGCCGTAAAGCATGGTGAAGCGGTATATAAGCCCAAGTGCTTTTGCTATACACACTTGCCATTTTTCTCCCTCCCTTCCTCTCTGTTCAAAGAATGTGCTTGTTGAACCCGAGGCCCCTATGCCGCTGGAAGGAAGGCTGGCCAAACAAACTGGAACAAGACAACCCTGAGATCTGATGCTCATTGCAAGGAAATGGGCCAGGTGTCAGCTTTGAAATTCAGCTGCCACATAAGGGGGGGGGGGGGTAGAGGAGTTGAAAAGTTCAAGGTCATTCTGTATATCATACTAGGAAATTCCAGTTGCAGTTAATTGGTTCCCGTGATTTATGAAGTGCAGAAGTGGGAGGAGAGAAGGTGGATTCTGTGTAACTCACGAAAATACTTTCACTTTGGGAAATTGCCTTAGATGTACCAGATATGTTTCTAAATAAATCATTTTGAGAGAATATGTCTCGGAGTGATTGATATCATGGATACTTTCTGGATGGCTTATACCAGGAGGCAGCTGTCAAATTTGATCCCACGGCCTCTTCTCTCAGAGCCACACAGAGCCTGCTGTGTTGTTCCCTCCATTACTTCTCTTAACTTGCCAGGTCAACCTCTCCCACCGGCCCACCCACCCACTTGCTCGCTCGCTCACTCACTCACCAACGGCTCCATGTCCGGCATACCCTCATGCAAATGCAGAGCTCCCGATAGCTGAGGTACTGGAAGACGGCCAACCAAATGTCCCTCTGCATGATATGGTCAGAACCGCTGTCCAAGGGCAGGGAGTCGGGTTCAGGGCTGTCTGGGGGAGGCCGGATCACGTGCCTCTCCAGCTGCAGCAGGGGTTTGGGAGGGGACGGCACCAAAGGCCAGTTCAGAAACTGAGTCCGGGCCACCATGCGGAGCCCTGTCTGTCCAGCAGGCCGGCTGGCTTTCCGGCCTCCCGCCTGCTGCTTGGCCCGTTCGCTCCCCCTGCTGGACGGGCGATGATTGTTCTCCTTCTCCTGAGAGTTCCCCCGAGCTTTGGGCTGCTTCCCGTTACGTGTTGTCTCCGAGCCACCATTGCGCCGCCCACCCTCCTCTTCGTCCTCCTCCTCGTCCTCCTCGTCCTCACTGGCGCTGAAGCCCAGGGCAGCCAAGCGCTGCGAACGGGTGGTTGGGGAGTTGGCTCGGCTCGACACCCCTCCGCTAGAACCGTCGGAGCCCCGTGAATCTGTGTCCGAATCCGAGTCTGAACTGGAACTGGAACTGCTGCTGTTCTTCACCCGCTCCAACATCTGGCACATCTGCTTGAAGCGCTCCAACTTCTCCCGCTGATGGGACTTGTCTGTCTGGGCAGAGGGCTCCAAAGGCCCGGGTGGTCCCTTTGGTTTCTGGCAGGAAAGGAAAGAGCGGGGAGAAAAACTTCACAACCTTATTCAATACAGGTCATCCTCGACTTACAACTGTTCTTATCATGACTGTCAAAAGTTACAAAGGCACTGCAGTGACTTATGACCGTTTTTCACACTTATGACCGTTGCAGCATTCCCCAGGATCATGTGATCAAAATTCAGGTGCTTGGGCACTGACTCATATTTATGACGGCTGCAGTGTCCCCCGGGGTCATGTGATCAGTTTTTTTGTGACTTTCTGACAAGCAAATTCAATGGGGAAGCCAGATTCTAACCATGTTACTAACTAAACAAATGTTGCAGCTCATTTAACTATGGTGAGAAAAAGTCATAAAATGGGGCAAGACTCATTTTACAATTAGATATGGCAGCATCAGAAATTTTGGGTTCAATTGTAGTCGTAAGTCAAGGACTACTACTTAATTTGGCTTTTTGTAACCTTATCTCCTCCTTGTAGCTGACAGCATTTGTCTCTCTCCTCAACTACTACAGCTACAGCCGTATTGGAAGGAGGGGGAGAGGAAAATCCCAGGATAGGGAAACAACTTTTAATGTCTTAAATTTTCTTTCTGAATGTTTTTTCCCTTAAATTAGTCAGCAAAATTAAAACTAGACATTTGGACTTTTAATAGGAGGTATCTTTAGGGTCCCTTCACTTTTACTTGTTCATATAAACCAAATGCCCTTCCCAGAAAAACACAAAAAAAGATAATGACCACTGCACTTCAGCCAAGCCTTATCCACACTCCTTTTGATTTTTATGTCGGATATCAACCCACTTTATAAATAAAATTTTCCAGGATGAGAAAAAGGTGTCTTTTAGTCAGTTCTCTAAATGTGCTAACCATAATTCATGGCTAGATTGTCAAGGTTACTAAGAATGTGTTATCTGCCAACAAAAAGCATTCTGTAATTCTGATTGGTCAGATCTGTAAGAGGAACATATGGTAAAAAAGTAAAATAAAGTAACTTTGAAATAAACAAAACTGCCTGCAATTCCCTGGAGCTCAGCTTTTAGAAGCAGTCGGCAACTGTTGAAGCCAACAGCAGATGGGAACAGCATGAAGGCCAAGAACTGGGCTTCTTAAAAATGGGGTTTTTTAATGTACGTTATGGCCTGCCTGAAGGGTTTATTATGGTAGAGAAATTATAAATCAAAAGTACGTGAAATCATGCTGTTCTCCTACTGGCTAAAAAAATATTTTGCTGTTTTAGTGGATTTGTTGTATGCTACCTGGAGACACTTTCTGCAAGATCGCCAGCCATATAAATTTGATTAAAAAAATCAAAATAAAGATGCTTCTATCCTTGATGGCCTTCAAAAAGGAGAGCATTTCTTTCCTATCTGTTACATCTATGCCCAGATTGAGATTGTTCAGCGGGATGCTGGGCAGTTCCTGAGTAATACACTTAGAATAGTGCATCCAGTTTTGGTCACCAACCATAAAACAGATGTTGAGACTTTAGAAAGAGCGCAGAGAAGAGCAACAAAGATGATTAGGGGACTGGAGACTAAAACAAAAAGTTGAAGAAAGGTTGCAGGAACTGGGCTTGGCTAGTCTAGTGAAGAGAAGGACCAGGGGAGACATGATAGAGGTCTTCCAATATTAGAAGGGCTGCCACAGGGAGGAGGAAGGGGTCAAGCTATTTTCTAAAGCGCCTGTAGGGCAGACAAGGAATAATGGATGGAAACTAATCAAGGAGAGATTCAAACTAGAAATAAGGGGAAAATGTTTGAAAGTTAAAACAATCAACCAATAGAACAAGTTGTCTTCAGAAGTTGTGGGAGCTTCATCACTGGAAGCTTCAAGAAGAGACTGGACTGCCATCTGGCATAAATGGTGTGGGGTCTCCTGCTTGGGCAAGGGAGTTGGTCTAGATCAGGGGTCACCAACCTTTTAGATCTCCGGGACCACCAAACTCATAATTTTAAATCCTGAAGACCAGAGACCCTGGGAAAATTTCAAAAAAAAAAAGTCGCAGGGAAATTCCCCACCCCGTTTTCCTACCAATTGATCATTCTTTATTTTGGATTGCAGGATACTGTCTCCAGCTCTGTTCTCGGGGGGTGGGGTGGGGGGGAGACTTTTGACTTCATGCAAGGAAAGCAACAGAAGCAGCAGAAATCTTTCTTTCTCTCCCCCAAACTCCACCAGAAATGAGACTTTGCTGGCGCAGCCTCTTAGAGCAGGATGACTTGTAGGGTCCCAAAGACTCATTTCTGGTGGAGGAGAAAGACTTTTGCTGTTTTCCTTGCGTGCAGCCAAAAGCAGAAGAAAGAAGCGGAAAGAAGCACCGGGTCAAGCGAGGTGCATGGGGCACATGGGGCAAGTTCCCCCCTCCGCCCTTTCCCCCTCCCCACTTTGTGATGTTCACAATGCAACCAACACAAGTCTTGTGTTCCCACGGACCATGTGGGCGGCGCAGCCTTGTGTTCCCATGCAACCTGGATTAATTGCTTTGGGGGGGAGCTTTGGGGGGGACATTTCCCTGCAGACCACCAAAATTTTCTCGCGGACCACCAGCGGTCCCTGGCCCACTGGTTGGGAACCACTGGTCTAGATGACCTACAAAATCCTTTCCAACTCTGTTATTCTGTTTAGCATTCATTCTTCTTACTTCCAGAATGGCTACAAATGGCTCATCTTACATTATTACAGCTACTTCTAGAAGCCCCAAGAAGTGCACAGCACGAAAAACCAACACCCATTGAAAGCTATCTAAGCCACAGATATACACACCTAAACTCCCCATTCTAGTTTCTTGCTCAGAATGCAGTGTGCGACAGCATAGTGGAAGGATATGAATTTTGCATAGCTACCTGCATTCTTAACAGATTAGTTAAACAAACCACAGCTGGATGGGTTCATACAACATATTCAGTCACAAACCAGAAGTGAGCAGCCATTGCCTTCAAATCCACATACCCATGTGGGAAAGACAGACGGTACTGCGATGCCTCAAAAGACCCCCGCCAGTTAAAAAAAAAAAGACAAATAAAATCTCCTTCCCAAATCATGTGAGATGAATAATGTGGATTTGCCCACTTTGTTTTGATTGCACGCATGCATGCATACACACACACACACACACACACACATACAAAACATTCATGCACATACATGAATACTAAGCACAGCCTTTGGTCACCAAAAGATTGCTTGCCACAACTGTAATTGGCAAAACAGAACAGCTGGGTTCTCTAAGAGGCTAAGTCAAACCCAAGCAACCGATCTCAACAGAGCTAAGCAGAATCACACCCCTGCAAAGCCAGGGCTGTCTTAATGCATGGGCCTGATGGGCACTTGCCCGTGGGCCCCACGAGCATAGGGGCCCCATACTAATCTGTGTATGTTAATCCTTCAGTGCACCTTGTATCATATAAATACAACAGCTGTATGGCTTAGTTGTTGTAGGGGCACCTGTATGCTGCTTTGCCCGGAGTCCATAATGCTGTTAAGACAGCCCTGTGCAAAGCAGGCCTGAAAAGGAAATTGCTCCTCCTGCCAGGCCAACCCAAGGCAAGGAAGAATAATAAACAGAGAGCAACTGTGAGCGGAGACCACCAACCCCTCTTTTTTAGGCAGTATTGAAAGCAAACCTTTGGGTGCCAAACGCACACTCTGACACGGTGCGGGACAAAGAATGACCACAGGTGGACCAAGGTCACAAGAACACATGTGCCTGAACACTGAAGGCTGCCCAGCCTGGTAGACAAGTGGTCATTTTGCAAAGGGGAAAAGGGGGCAGTGTGGAAGAATACGAATGGCCCACATCGGCTCTTCCTACTGTTCCCCTGCCACCCATGAGCCAAAACATTTCCTTTCTGTGGACACGCTCAAGCAGCTGAGCTCTATCCGCACTTTTTCAGAAGCCGTTCAGGCTAAAACCCACTTTCAAAGTTATGAATCGTTGCAATTAATTGACTAGAGTTTGGTTTTATACATTTTGCCTGGTTAGGTTTGCCCGACTTTCTATGCCAATGTAAAATGAGCTGGATTGTGACTCAGAGCAAGGGTTCCCAACCTCTGGGCTGCGGAGCAGCACCGGCCCCAGCGTGCCAAAAACTGGGCCGTGCAAACAAGTGAATCCCTATCCGTACATGCATGCTCAAAACCACGCACCAATGTGAGAACCTATACAACCTATGAGTAAGGACTATGAAAGGATAGCAAAAGATTTGTAACCAACTGACACACTCTATGTATATAACTGGAAGATGGTTTTATGTTTTTATGTTTTTTCTGTATATGTTTGTTTTAAAAAATAAAAAATCTTTAGAAAAAAAAAACCACTCACCCTCCAATCCGTGGGAAAACCTCTCTTCACAGAACCAGTGCCTGGCACCCAAAATATTGGGAGCCGCTGGCTTAGAGCACTGTAAGGGCACAGTTTGTCCCTGGGGGTCTCACCTGATTCCCTCTCTCTCTCTCCCTCCCAGCTCACCTCTAAGTCACTGGCTGTGATCTGGCTGAGGTGAATAGATGGGTGGGAGATGGCCCCCTTCACCTCAAAGTCACCACCGCCCATGCGGCTCCAGGTCTGCATGGAATCCAATTTGTTTCCATCAAGTGGTTGCTCAGCACCCTGAGAACACAAAAAAAAAACACACAAAAAAAATGCTCAAATGGGTTGCGGGAAGGAGAAGGGGAAAAAAAAAAAGGGCAGGTGGAAAGATGAGCGAGAGGCACCAGTCAGTTTCTTACACGCAGCTGCCTTAAAAAAAAAAAAAAAAAAGCACTGCGTCCCATGAGCCACTTAGCAAAGCTTGACGTAGCAGCTGCCCTGCAATGGTGCCCAGGATGGAGTCTGGGGACCCCTGATGGCCCTCAAGGGTTCTGCAGATCGCTTCTGACTTCCAGAGCCCAAATAAAAGGACATCTTTTGATGACTCAGTTCTTGGGAAAAGGGCCAAAAATTTTTTTTTTTTAAAAAAGAAAAAAAGATCTGGCAACAAGATGCCAGCCATTACTTAATAAATAAAAAAAATAAGTAAATAGGATAGGAGGGCCTCATGGATGCCATGGGGATAAATATCACTCTGGCAATGATCTGCTTGGAGGAGAATCATAACATACTGCAGTCTTCTTCAGCTTCCAGGCATGCAGGTAGTCCTCAACTTACGACCACAATTCATCACCCTCTTTTAATAACCCCATAATCCCTTGTGGGGCGGAGTCTGGGCAACTGAATGGAGCTGAGTGTTTACTGGCCAGATGCATTTCCTGTCACCAATGCGGAGTTTTGTTCAGCAGATATATTCTCAGCGTGCCCAGAGAGAGAAATATCTGCCTCTACCTAGGATCAAACTCATAGCCTTCTAATTGTGAGGCCAGAGATCCACTTCTAGGCCAGCACACCACTCTAGTTTACAATCACTACTGAGCCCAAAATTTATGTTGCTGAGTGAGAAATTTGTTAAGTCAACTTTGCCATATTTTACGACTTCTCTTGCCACGTTTGGTTAAGTGAATCGTTCAGTTCTTAAATTAGTAACACCGTTGTTAAGTCAACCTGGTTCACGCATTGCCTTAGCTTGTCAAAAGGTTGAAACTGGTGATGACCCAATCCCGGGACACTGTGACCATCATAAATGTGAGTCAGTTGTCAAACTTCCGAATTGTAAATCACGTGACCATGGGGATGTGAAAAACGGTCGTAAGTCACTTTTTTCAGCGTTGCTGTAATTTTGAATGGTCACTAAGCAAACTGTACTACCTGTACTTATTTCCTGCTTTGATTAGTCCCAGCAAGATCAGGCACTGTGCAATATCTAAGTGCAAAGCTGATGAACGTCATCTAAGCACATCCAGTACATGTAGTCCTCAATTTCCAACCAATTGTTTCATGACCGAACTTACAACAGCACTGAAAAAAAAGGGACTTTTCACACTTATGACTGTTGCAGCATCCCTGTGGTCACATGATCACTCTTCGAATGCTTGGCAACTGACATGTATTTATGCCTGTCGCTGTGTCCCAAGGTTATGTGATCACTTTTTGCCACCTTCTGACGAGCAAAGTCAACGGGGAAGCCAGATTCACTTAACAAGAGCGGTGATTCACTTAACAACTATGGTAAGAAAGGTTGCAAAATGGAGCAAAACTCACTTAACAACTGTCCAGCTTAGCAACAGAAAGTTGTGGTCATATTGTAGAGACAGTCTTCTGAGCCACACTGGTGGACGATAGAGGATCCTCAGATGGATAAATGACCTGTCTGCCTCTCGTATCAGGGAAATTCTTCCTCCACTTCTTTCTTTCTTTCTTTCTTTTTAATGGTAGCTCCTCCTTGGCATCTTATCCACGGGCCCTTCTTGCATAATGAAATCCACTCACCTTTTTCAAATGTTTCTCCCTGGTACCTTTCAACTGGAAAGAGAAAGAAAGAAGACAGTGGGAATTCTAGACTAGAGCGTGTTGCTTAAAGTAACTTCTTCCGATATAAAAAATAAGGAGTTTGCTTAATGAGAATATTGGAAAAAACTGGACAGCCAAATTAAGCACTTTAAAAAAGTCCAGAGATCTAGAATGTCTTTCCAATGGCTGGGGAATTCTGAGAGTTTAAAAGTCCACAGATCTTAAAGTTGCCACGTTGGGACAGCTGATTTAGTGCACAGGCAAAAAAAAAAAAAAAAGGAATATGACTTGCTAATACATCTTTTCCGGAGTTGCCAGATCTTTCCCAGAATGGAAGTCAGCAAAACAATCTGGAAAACCAGAATCCTTGTCTCACCATTTTTGTTGTGACTGTGACCCCTCAGCATGCTGCACAAAGCCCAGGAAGGCTCTCAAATCCACAGCATTTAACACACCCTTAATCCAGAGATTCCTACCTTTAAAACTGGAGCGGAAAGAGGTGTAGTTTGTACAAGAAATACAAACTGGAATAGTGCATTGTGGCTAGAGGCAAAAAATCACAAGGCAGGACTAAGTGTAGTTAGCATGGTTCCTTCAGAGAATCATAAAGTTTTACTTGATCATCAACTTTGATAGTAGTAGTTCAAAGTAGCTAGTTCTATGGGTATGGATCTATCACCACATAGAGGAACATCCGTGTTCCCTAACAGCATCACGTGGCTCTCTGAGGTACAACAGGTGAGGTCAGAAAAACTGAGTAATAGCCAAGATGCCCACATGTTACTTATTAAGAGTTATTTGTATGCTGCCTATTCAGTTTGCAATAAAACGGGAGTGTTGCTAAAACCAGCTAACAACCAACACCATAACAACATTTGTTGCCCAAGCTAACAGCTCCCCCAACAAAAATGCTATCCCTTCCTCCCTCAAAAGCTTTTCAGAAAAGCATAGCCTGAACTGCTTTGCTAATGAACAGACTCAGTTGGAACAGGGAAGGGAAAATAATTTAATTGGGATCAAGTAACAGATGTCAAGAACTTTTGGAAGGGGAGTAGGATAGACACCTCCTGACATCATCAGGAGGCATAGGAGTGTGGGAGACAAAGGGACAAGAACAAAGCTTTAATACTTCAAAGCCTCCTTGCGATGGCCCTGGAGCCTATATGATGGGTAAAAATAGTGGGGGAATTTTGGACTACATGGGAAAAAAGAGACAGAGTTGAAGGAGAGGTAAACAGGTCAAACAAAATTATTTTGCTGTAACAAAGAATGATGCGATTGGAACAGACCACCACAAAATGCAATGGAGGTGAAGTGATGGGACATATGTGCTGAAGGTTGGGCCTATCACACACATTCCTTTTTTTTTTTTTTGTAAAATTTTTTTGAGTTTTCACAAAAAAAATACAAATAAAACATCTTTTTTGAAAGTAGCTTAATCCTGGGTTACATTTCTTCGTACAGACACAAATTCAGGTTCATGCTCATTTTTATGTTCTATTCCATATCTTATTACTGTTTTACATTTTCTGCATAGCTTCTCCCCTCTTTTAATTTTCTCAATTTTATTTTAATTATCTCATCTCAATTCAAATCATTATATTTATATTTTTTGTCTGTCCTGTTTCAATTATCTATTATCTTTTCTCATTAAACAAAGTTTCTCCTGTAGTTACTGATTGGAGTGTGACGCCTTTATATCTTTTAAGTTTATCCATTTAACTCTTATTTAGGCTTCAATATATACCTTAAAGTTATAACATTCAATATAATACATAACTTCCATTCGGATTCTGCCTGGTACATTCTTAAAATACACACTATATTCTTAAAAAAAGAAAAAAATATAAATATATATAATTAAAACAACACATTCCATTCCAATTCAATTCTATCATTAATGTTAATATTCATTAAAATATTAACTTCTTTAACATTACTTTCAATTAAATATCATACTTCTATTGGAACAATTATAAGCTTTCCATAATTAATTCCCCCCTTCACTTATATTTTATAAAACATTAACTAATTAAAATGTTCCCATCCCTTCCAAATTCAATTTTCTCATTTATTTTATTTCACTTATTTTATTAACAAACATTTCATTAAATTACACTATTTTATCCCTCATTTTAATCATACATTGTTTCCAATTTTCTAAAGTTATTTCTATTACTAATATAACAATACAATCTTATGTACCTTTACAGAATCCCCTTTTCAGTTAAATTTTTACCCATTATCTCTAAATAGGTCCTGTTTCTCTATATCTTGTTCCGGTCCTTTGTAACTTCTTTTCCTTTCCTTCTTCCCTCTCTTTTTCTCTCTCCCCTTTTTACCCTCTTGTCTCTCTACCTCTATTTCTCTCTTCTGTATTCCTCTCTTCTGTTGCTTTCCAGTATTATACTTATTTTTCGAATTATTTTTCTTTTCTTTGGTTGTTTTTTTAAGTCTTAAATTCTCCGTTCTCTTTCCCCCCCTTTCCTTTTTCTTCCCCACATAGAATTACTTGTTCATTAAAGATGGCTTCTTCTTTGTCCCAGTCTTCTAGTTTTGCAGATGTTTCTTGTTGTTTCTCATAGTTCCAAATCTCCATTTCTAAGAATTGGAAAACGAAGCCAAAAGAACTCCTCCCTTCTTGTGCATCTTCTTTATACTTTTTAAGTTCCATTTTCAATTCATCCAAAAGTGATGCCAGAAATTTTTAAACAACCACCCGATTAATTTTAGTCATTCAAATGCAATAACCAAGAATCCAAAGATCACCAAGTAATCCAAATACACGCAAGCTGTTTCTTTTTGCTCTTTTTTTCCACTTTCTCTTCCTGGGGTTCTACTGTTTAGTTGCAAAGTTTCAGTTAAAATGTATCTTTTAGAAGTCTTGTTGAAGTTTTATTGTAGATTCTTTTTAATTCCAGGCAGTCTCCTCCCTCTTTCCAGATCCTGCCCTTTTATTCTTTTTCTCTCCCTTCCTGCTTATGAAAAAAATTTTTAGTGTCCAGAAATCTTTATTATCCCTTTGACATTTTGTTTTATTTTCAGCTTAATTGCCTGTTGATGTCAAAGCGGATTTTTCCGATTTCTTATTTAAGTCTCTTAGTTGTCAGTATAGGGAAAGGGAGAGAAGAAAAAAAAACCCAAACCTTTCCCTTTTCACTTTCCTTCGCTGCTTCCGACTCTTCTTTGGGAGCGATGTTATTTTTTTGTAAATTTAAATTCCAGGGTACCTTAGTTGTTGCTTTTGCAATTTAACCCGGTCAGCCAAAACTTTCACTTCTTATCTTCCTCCTGCACATTCTTTTCCGGTCGAGTTCTTCTTTGTGGTGGCCATTTCTGACCACCGCTGCAACCGCCTTCGGGAAAGGGAGTAATGGCCAGCTGAGGAGGAGAGATGCGGCTCTCCTCAACCCTGCTGGCAGTCTCCCCCGTCTTCACCACCTCTACGGGGTGGCTTAGCCCCGAAACCAGCCGGCTCAGGGCGCTCCAGTGACGAGCCCAGACCGAAACCGCGCACGATCGCGGATTTCTGTCTGTCGCCAAAGGAACTCAAACCGGAAGGCACACATTCCTGATGGCTGCTTTTACTGTATATCCCTCTTGTAAGTCTACTAAGATCATCTGGCTGACCAGCATGAGAAATAAAATTCTTTTAGATAGTCTATGAAGAATCTTCCTGGCAGCTTCCCTGCTCCACTGCCCGTCCCCTCTAAGCCAACATACCCAGGCTGAGGAAATGGCTAGTCTCACACATCAAGAGGACACTGCCCGTCCTCTCTAAGCCAACATACCCAGGCTGAGGAAATGGCTAGTCTTGCACATCAAGAGGGTTTTAAGCTTGCCCAACCAAAGGGCAGATTGAGTTGGCTAAAACGTGAGAAGGATCCCAGCCTTGCAGACACATGGGGCCTGGCAGTCATAGGCTGAGCCCATGGCCACTTACCTTCTTCTTGGGTCCCGTCTCGGGGGCTGGGAGTTCCTTTTTGCGCTTGTGAGCACCCGCCTGGACCGGACTCTCCTCAGAGGGTGGCGGGGGCAAAGGTGGTGCTGGTGGCAACTTTTTCTTGTTCTGAGCAGGCTCATCAGTCAGCTTCCACCGGACCCCTTCCTCACCATTGTCCGAACGCCGCTTCCCTGTGCCATCCCCTGAATCCTGAGAGGTGGACAGAAGAGAGGCAGAAACGGGCTCAGACGTTGTGCGTAGCTTGTCCTTTTTACACCACCTTTTGCTGCGTAAGCCACAAGAAGGATGCCTTCACCGGCATGCTCAGTCAAAACCAAACAACCATATTATGGCTTAACCTCTGTGGACTGGCACCGGTCCGTGGCATGCCATAAACTGATCCGTGCAAACAAACAAAGCCCCATTTGAGGGATGCAGGAAGCACACAAAATCACACCTCCTCCAGTCTGCAGAAAAACCTCTCTCCACAGAACTGGCCCCTGGTGCCCAAAAGGTTGGGGGACACTGGCTTAACCCAACCTACCCCATCCTCACCAATGCTTTCAAGGACACGAAAACACTGCTTGGAGGCTGGGCTGAGGAAAGCAGACCAGATAGGGATTTTCTAGACAGCACATCAAGTGGAGCCAACCAGATTGTTCGGCCCTAAGCAGAGGGGTCTATCTGAGAGACTGTCCTCACTCTTACTACAGGTAGTCCTTGACTTATGACCGTAATTGAGCCTGGGATCACAGTTGTACATTGTGCCAGTCATTAAGCAGATTGCCGCATAACTGACCCCCATTTGACAGTATTTTTTTGTTGGGATCGTTAAGCGACTGTGATCGTTAAGTGGATTCATTGTCCGCAATGGCATGGTTTTTTTTTGGACAGTATAACATGAAATAAACACCGGCTTCCAGCAAAATAAATAAATAAATGCCATAAATTGTGGTCACGTGACTGCAGGATGCTGCAAATGGCCACAGCGGGTAGAGGCAGGAAGCGTCCAAAATGCAAGCACAGAACTGTGGAGAGGAAGGGTGATAACTATAAGAACTTTTTTCTTGGGGGGGGCGGGGTTGTCCTTCGTAACTTTGAACAAGTTGTTAAAGCAGCCAGTCATAAGTAGAGGACTACTTGTCTTAGCTACGAAGGATTATCCTTCAATGAGGGGTGGGGTGGGGGGAAACTATAGAAAAAGGATGTCAATCCAAGGTGTGGGGTGTGAATAATTAGGGCCTGAAATAAGAAAAAAAAAAAACCACTCCAAGAGACCCAAATGGGTCCTCTTATGTCTCCCCCTCCCACTTTGTCCTGGCTTCACAGCAAATGACCCTGGGGGGGGGGGGGCTTCTACCCCACCCTTTTGATTCTCCCTTCTCTAGGATGTCCCCCACCCCCAATACACACACACACACACCAAACCACATACTTTCATTGATTTGCCTTCTCTCTTGCACTTGGGGCATTCCCAGCAGTTTGGAATTTCGTTGTTGATGACCCCTTCAGCGATTCCCATCTGCAAAGAGAAAAGACAGGTGCAGGTGAAGGGAGTGGGTTGAGATATTCCTCAGCCGGGATGGCGACTGTGCAGTGGTTCTTCTCTCTCACCTTCAAGCAGCCTGGATGCACAATCTCGTTGCAAATGGTACACTCCATGAGTGACAGGTTGAACTTCTCCTCTTCACCCTCTACTGTGTCCTCTTTCCCGGCCTCCCCACAGACCAGGCACACGGCTGTGTGAGGTAGAACTGGCTGCGAGGAGACAGTGGACGGAAGTCAGACGTAAGAAATGCAAAACAGCAAGAGCACTTAGACTTATATTCCGCTTCAGTTTCTGGGCCCCACTATGTCAGGGAAGAGAAGTTGTGTATGGGAATGTTCAAGAAACAAATGGCTGCATGCTGAAAACAAATATATGAAATGGGCAACCATTAACTTTCCAGCATTTTTGACACAATATGGGTTTTTTTTTATTTGCTTTGTGCAGGACATCTCTGCCTTTACTTGCAGCTCTCAGCAGATGTGAAAGATGCAGAAAAAGCTAAGGATACGCAGTGTTAAACCACATCAGTCCCCCGACAAGAACTACATGGAAAAATTATTCATGTCAAGAAATATGTGTCTCTCTTTCTTTTCTATCCCAATTGAGATTTGGGAATATTTAGCTGAGACAGAGCAGATCTGGAGTGCATTTTTTTGTTGAGGATGAAGAACCGGGGCCCTTTAAGACGAGAGGGTCTCCACAACTCACCATGGCCAACCCGCCAACTAACCGTGGGACAACTCGCTATGGCCAGCTTGCCGTGGGGCAAGAGTTACACTAATATTGAAGAAATAGAGGAATAGAATCATTAAAGAAACAATGCCAAAGGAAGGGAAGAATGAAATGCAAATGAAAAAAATTAAAATTATTTCTAAAATTATTTTAAATAATTAAATTGAATTGTTGAATTGTCCCACAGAGCGCTGTCCTGTGGCAAGTTGGCCATGTTGAATTACCCCACAGTGAGCTGGTTGTGGTGGGTTGACCGTGGTAAATTGGCCATGACCAATTGGCCACGGTGAATTGTCCCATTCCAAAGACGAGACACCCCTCCTATTAAGTCGGCTGATCTGAAGAGCTGTGGTGGTGCAGTGGTTATAATGCAGTATTACAGGCTGACCCTGCCCTCAGTCAGGAGTTTGATTCTCACTGGCTCAAGGTTGATTCAGCTTTCCATCCTTCTGAGGTCGGTAAAATAAGGACCCAGACTGTTGGGGGCAATAGGCTGTCTCTGTAAACCACATAGAAAGGGGAAGTGGTGTATAAGTCTAAATCAGTGGTAGTCAACCTGGTCCATACCGCCCACTAATGGGCATTCCAGCTTTCATGGTGGGCGGTACGGTTTTTGTCCCCTACTTTATAAATCACCATTACTGTGGAACCAGTGGGTGGTTAGAGAAAATTTTACTACTAACAGAGATACAAAAGTGGGCGGTAGGTATAAAAAGGTTGACTACCCCTGGTCTAAATGCTATTGCTATGCAGGAAACATTGCATGCAAATAGAAATCCACGCCACGGATCACCATCGGCGTTGGCTGCCCCACCTCTCTCACTTACCGCTGTGCACTGCCTCTGCAGGCAGGACTGCTTCATGCGTCCAGGACCCCCAAATTTCTTCATGTCCTTACAGAAATGGCACTCCCCACACTCTGATCTCAGGCACGCTTTACACTTCCGGCACCGCGTCCGCCGCCGGCGAGCTCCAGCCCCTGCCCCTTTGCTGGACGACATTGGCTATGTCCCGCTTCAGCTACTCTCTGGGCTGCAAAAGGAGGAAAGGCAAAAGAGGCCAACCAGGCAGGTAAATATGGCGCTCCAGATCAGTAAGATGACCGACAATGAAGATTGGGGGGTGGGTGGAAAGAAGGATATGCAGCACAAAGGAATTGAGATTCTCATATAAAGGTAGTCCTTGACTTACAACAGTTCATTTAGTAATCGTTCAAAGTTACGATGGCACTGAAAAAAGTGACTTCACACTTATGACCATGGCAGCCTCTCCTTGGTCATGTGATTAAAACTGCGATGCTTGGCAACTGATTCATATTTATGACGGTTGCACTGTCCTAGGTACACCTGATCAATGGGGAAGCCAGATCCACTTAATAATCATGTTAGTAACTTAACAACTACAGTATTTCTCTTAACAACTGCGGCAAGAATCCAAACTCTGTCAAGGATCTTGGAGTTCTCATCTCAAATGACCCAAGTGCCAGAGCCCACTGTAACTACATAGCCAAAAAGGTGTTAAGAGTTGTTAACCTAATCCTACGTAGCTTTTTCTCTGGTAATATAACGCTACTAACTAGAGCATACAAAACATTTGCTAGATCAATACGCGAATACAGCTCATCAGTCTGGAACCCACATTATGTATCTGATATTAACACAGTTGAGAAAGTCCAGAAATATTTCAGAAGAGTTCTCCACTCCTCTACTTGTTGCAGAATACCTTATGCCACCAGACTCGAAATTCTAGACCTAGAAAACCTAGAACTACGCCGCCTTCGGTCCGATCTTAGTATATAAAATCATACATTGCAATGTCCTACCTGTCAATGAATACTTCAGCTTCAACCATAACAACACTAGAGCAAACAATAGATACAAACTCAAGGTTAATCGCAACAAACTTGATTGCAGGAAATACGACTTCAGCAACAGAGTGGTCAATGTCTGGAATACTCTACCTGACTCTGTGGTTTCTTCCCCAAACCCCAAAAATTTTAACCTTAGACTGTCTACTATTGACCTCACTCCTTTCCTAAGAGGTCTGTAGGGGGCGTGCATAAGCGCACCAACGTGCCTACCGTCCCTGTCCTATTGTTTCTTTTATTTTTCTTATATGTATCCATGTATTCATAACTATGTTTTCACTTATACTTATTATTTTGTAAGCAATTGACAAAAATAAATAAATAAAATAAAATAAAGTAAAGAAAGGTTATAAAATGGGGCAAAATTCACCTAACAAATGTTTTGCTTAGCAATAGAAATTTTGGGCTCAATTTTAAGTGAAGGACTACTTGTATACGCATTAGGGAGAAAAAGAAAACACATTGCAAGAAGAAAAATGTCCCGCATGCAAAGGCACACATGGTCCATCACCAGCACTGGGCAGGAGTGTGGGGGGAATCAAAATTAAACACAGCAAACTGAATTTGAGCTAAAAAATATTGCATCACTTTTGGATTTAAAAGGATGGTTTAAAATCAGCAGTATAGGTAGAACTCAACTTACAACCATGACTGAGCCCAAAATTTATGTTGCTAAGTGAGAATTTGTTAAGCAAGTTATGCCTTCCATTATGACATTTTTTTGGCCACAGTTGTTAAGTGAATCATTGCAGTAGACAAGTTAGTAACCTGGTTGTTAAGTGAATCTGGCTTCCCCACTGACGTTACTTGTCAGGTCGTAAAAGCGATCACATGACCCCAGGACACTGCAATGGTTGTAAGTATGAACCAATTGCCAAGCATCTGAATTTTGATCATGTGACCATGGGGATGCTTGCAAAGGTTATAACTACGAAAAACGGTTGTTAAGTCACTTTTTCAGTGCTGTTGTAATTTTGTACAGTCACGAAATGAACTGTTGTAAGTCGAGGACTAGCTGAATATTCCCACAGAAAATAGGTGAGATGATATTAACTAGCACACTAATCCAAGAAAATCAATTCTATTAAAAAAGAGAGCCAAATCTAGGGGGATAGAGAACTGGATGGCTAGCACGGCCATTCAGCAGAACTTTCAAGGGTCATTCTCAAATTTTCAGTTGATCACAGATCATGAATTGTCCACTGTATCTGTGAACAGTGAAGGTTATGCCAAGAGCTCAAAGGCAGGAACTCCTGAAAAGCTAAGTGGAATTTCTTTGGTGCCTCAACCATGGATAAGTTAGGACAATGTTCCTCAACCTTGGCAGCTTGAAAATATCCGGCTGGGGAATTCTAGGAAGCTGGAACTCTACATGTCTACCAATGGCCAATTTTGAAAAACACTGATTTAGGAGATAGTTAGGTGAAAACTCCTGCCTCTTTAAAGAACTCTGGGACTGCCTAAGAGTTATTTAAAAGGACACAAATTTAATCCAGTGTTTTTCAACCTTGGCAATTTAAAGATGTTTGGAGGTCAGCTCCCAGAATTCCCCAGTCTGAAGGCTATACATCTTAAAGTTGCCAAGTTTGAAAAACACCAGATTAATTTAAGAGCAGAACAGGCTACTGGTACATACAACAATACTTATTCAGCTCTGTAACAGGAGAAAATTATTCAAACTCACTGGAAGAAACTCTCAACATGCACAGAGAAACACTTTTCCGCTCAAGAATAACATCAACATTTTTGTGTGTGGCTAGTTTTTTAACTATGCTCCTCAAAACTTTATTTGGGTCTCAGGGACAAACCATTTTGCTAGAGCAGGAAAAAAAAAGAGTGATTTGTTTATAGCTTCCTAATTTCCAAGATATTTTCTCTACTAGAGTACAGCTACAATCAGAGGCAAATCTTAACCACATCATGATGGTTACAAATACAGCAAAAGTAAAAATAGATTTTTGACAGGTATTTAAAGGTCTGTTCTCCAAAGATGAACCTATCAAGGCAACTCTGTTGTCAGGTGAGGTGAATAAAATCCAACCATGTTTTTCCAGATACACAGGTAACCCTCGACTTATAACTGCAGTTGAGCCCAAAATTTCTGACTGCAGTTGAGCCCAAAATTTCTGTTGTTAAGCAAGATAGTTGTTAAAGTGAATTTTGCCCCATTTTATAACCTTTCTTGCCACAGTTGTTAAGTTGATCCCAGCAGTTAAATTATGAATGCGGTTGTTAAGTTGAATCTGGCTCTCCCCTTGACTTTGCTCGTCAGAAGGTCACAAAAAGTAAGCACATGATCCCAGGACATTGCAACCTTCACAAATATGAGCCAGTCTTAAGGGCATATGATGCACACAACCATTTGTATTTGGTTCTGACAGCCCCTTAGGTATAGCATCCTTGACACCACTGGAGGCAAAATATTTGGTGCACTGTATTACATAACAATCAATATAATATATAGCCATTGTGATTAGCAGCAGCTGACCACAAACTGGGTCTTGCCACCTTCATTAAGGGGATTATGCAAATAATGTACAGGTAGTCCTCGACTTACGATCACAATTGAGCCCAATATTTACATTGTTAAGTGAGACATTTCATAAGTGAGGTTTGCCCCACACTGAATAACTTTTCTTGCCACATTTCTTAAGTGAATCACTGCGGTTGTTAAATTGCTAACACCGTTGTTAAGTGAACCTGGCTTCCCCTTTGACTTTGCTTGTCAGAAGGTCACCAAAGGTCACATGATATCCGGGGACACTGCAACCCTCATAAATATAGGTCAAGCATCTGAATTTTGATCAGATTTTTAATCAGATTTCACAGTCATAACTGATAGGTCATAACCGTATCAGATTTCACAGTCATAACAGATTTCACTGTCATAACAGCAAAAAATGGTCATAGGTCACTTTTTGCATACCCATTGCAACTTCGAACAGTCACTAAATGAACTGTTGTTAAGTCGAGAACTACTTGCAGACGATAAGATGAAAAAGAAAGGCCTTTAAAAAAATAGAGGTACTTACAGTATAAGGGAGAAAACAATTACCACAGAGTTATAAAAAATGGCAGCACATCATTGTGAAATTACAGGACAGAAGTCCCACACCTCCAGATTGTGGAAGACTGATATAAAACAGCTTTCTGAGAGAGATCCTGAAATAGCTAGAGAGTTGGATCTGGTTTCACATTTATGGCTGCCAAGCGACTTAGGACATAGGTGCAGTCACACCAGCACTTGTAGCCATGTACATAAAGCAGTTAATGCCATAATTTCTCATCTTGTTAGGGAGTTCAAAGAGATAAACCAATATGAATTACAGGCAATGCATATTAATGCTGTAAGTTTTAAAAGAAATTGGACTTAATTAAGACTTTTTGAGGGAGATGGGCAGCTCAGAAATGTGGTGATAGATAGATAGATAGATAGATAGATAGATAGATAGATAGATAGATAGATAGATATAGAATGCAATGGATCTATTATGTTAAATCAAATGATAGAGCTCTTTTACTTTTCTGTCTTTTCCTCTCACTATAACAAAAATCACCATGGTAGATAGATATTCTCACAGACACATTGTTTTTATGAGAAGCCAAAAAGAAAACAGGCCAATTTCCCCCAAGATACAAAAAACTAGAAGGAAGTAAAAGAGGAGACAAGAATTTATAAATTAAATAAAAAGAGCTGCTTTCTGTATTGTTTTAGAATGATTTAGAGACATACAGATCCTGTTTTGATGTGATTATCCAAAATAGGACTCTTTCAGAAAAAAAGCCATTGAACAGCAATTATTTCAATCTTATGAGAGCCAATATAAAGGAAATAAAAAAGGATAAATTTGTTGTGTGAATTGAGAAGAGTAAGTGATGCCCCCCCAAATCCCTAGAGCCTATTTTTCTTTTATAAAAAAAACAGTTTTTCAGGGATATAAACCTGCCAAATTAGAGGCTTAATAGTGAAACACAAATCAAAATCAAACCCAAAGCTGAGATTTATTCTAGCTCACCCAGCAAGGTTAAATGTGTGGACTTCCACTCCCAGAATTCCCCAGTTAGCATACTGGGAATTGAAGTCCACATATCTTAACATATCTGAGATTGAAAAACATTGGTCCAGATTGATTCCAAAGACACAAGAGCTTGAGTTCTACCTTCAGAAGAAGAAAGTGTAAGTGAAAAGGTGAAAGTGGAATATGAGGAAAGTGTCAGGAAATTGAGATAGCGTGGGCTGGCAAGGATAACAATGGAAAGAAAAAAACAAAGTGGAAATTTTGCAGATCAATCCTTAGTTAGACCCCCTGTAGACCTGTCAACCAGAAAATCTGTCAATTATGAAATCCGAAGGCAAGACATCTAGAAGGCAAAAGCGTTCTCTCTGTTTTTCTTTTTTTTAAATGGCAGCATAACAGAAAAGCAATATACAGTATTTCTCAGGCCCTTTTTCTGTTGTTCAGAAAGATAAGAGAAGGGTGGAATAATGGAAAAACAGAAATTCAGAAGGAAGCGGGCAAAGCAACTTTCTTATTATCAACTGCAAATACTACAAAAGGCATGCTTACATATAAAACTTCCACTGATCTTAACCATGCAAGAAAAAAGACATAATAATTCAGAAGGGTCTCTACCACTATAACTTAGGCCCATCAATCATCAAATTAATGACTCCTATTATGATTTTTTAAATTTTATTTTTCACACAAATAACCAATAACATTTAGTTCCTATCATTGCCAACCAATGCTATGAGGGGGATAGGAGAATACAGAATGCGACAGGTCAGGACAAAATTATTTCAGACTTTATGAGAGAGGGGAAAAAAACAGTTGCCAGCACCAAGCTGGTTTTTTGGTTTCTATTTTAAAAAGAAATCATGCAATGTGGCCCTTAAAAATTATTTTTTTATTTAGCATATGGCATGGCCTTTAAAGATATTTGACTATGAGAGGACAGGGGAGAAGGGACACAGCAGAAGAATTAACTATATTGGGGATTCATCTCATCTGAGGGTCAAAAATGAAACAAACCAATTCCAGACTGAAAGGGAAAACAGTGAACTGCTAAAATAAAAAGAAAATATTGTGAAGAGGAGATGCTTTTATAAGCTGCACAGGGTCTGCTGCGTGTTCAATTTATCAGTATCCCAACAGAACTGGGAAAACTTATTAATTTCTTATAAGGAAGAAGGGGAGAGAATCAGACTCAACAATATCTACAATGAATAAATAGTTTTCTATTTCTAAAAAAACGAAAACAAAAAATCTAAGTGTGTGTTATTCTGAGGATTAACCCAGGAGAGAGCAAGAGACAGTTAGGTAGAAGAAGGCACGTAAAAGAGAATCAATGAGGATGAGTGACTCCCTCCTCTCTTCTGCTTGAACAGCCTGTACTGATCTTACCTAACATAGATACACACATTCTGTTGATGGAACATTTTGTCTCCTGCCATTATTTCACCCCACCCCTACCTCTTTCTTCCAAGCATTTAAGAGCAGGCAAAGCACTGAAAGGGAAAACAAATGCATGTATAAAGGAACTTGGCTCCGATACCTCATCACGCCCAGCCTGGCTTCAGAGCTGACAGGCCCGATCTTGGCAAGGGTTCCCACACACCTCAACCTGGCCTTCCATGATGCCGGTTGCTGGGTTCCCCCTCAATTCTCTCCGCCAGCTGCAATCTGCTTGACACATCTTTTCTGCTTTCTCTTCCTTTGAAAAGCCTTTAAGTCAAGCGGTTTGGTGGCGGCAATTCACCTCCGCTCAATCCTTCTGGATTACGCCGCTTCTTGATGGACATAACCAGAGCCATCCTCTATAGAGGGGCCCCTGAAATCGGTGTGAAACGGCACCTCCCCTCTCTTCCCTTCCTTTCCTCCCCCCCTCCCCGGGTAAAACATGAGAAATACACAGAGGCAAGAGCGTTTTTACGGCTGGTAATTCCTTCCCCTGGAAATCACAGAAGAGAAACTTTGGTTCCATGTTTGCCCCTGTGTACCCCAAAGCCACACTGCTCGTCCCCTCTCCTTGCTATCTCTCAGCTTGAGTCTACCTAGGGGTGACCAGATCCCTTGAAAAAACACCTGACCAAAATGATACAGCCAAATCTTGGATTTCTTTATTTTTCCTTTCACGGAAGAACAACAAAAATCTGAACACTCCAGCCCAAGGTGACAGAACAGAAGCTGGAAAGGAAAGAATATCCAAGAAAACAAAACAACAAAGGAGATCAAAATGAATAAGAAAAGGAGGAAAACACAATAGTAGATCAGGAATGGGGTGGGGGGAAGAGGAAGGAGAGGCAACCGAAGCTATAGATTCCACCCTCAGCAAAATATATTTGTGCAACCAGCCTGATAGCTTAACATTCCTCCCTGGTTTCTGCATCTGAGTTGTTGTGATGCTTTCACATGCTATGTGCGTCCCCCACAATCTACCCGTGTACAAATCTTTATTTTGGGAAGTGGGTTTGCAAAGCATGGGCAGTCCTGCTCAAAACACTGAGCTCCACAGGGTTGGAAGGAGAAGGGCGAATTAATTTGGAATGGGGAGATTAAGGTGGGAGGAGGGGAAAGGAGAAAGAATGTGCCCCTAAAAAAAAAAGAGACGGGTTTTATTCCTTGAAAAAAAGAAAAAACATTCTCTGGCAAAGCCAAAAGGGAGGGAGGGAGGGGGGGGGGGGGGGGGGGGGGGGGGGGGAAGTAGGTAGAGGAAGGATACAGACTTACCTTTGGGAAGCGCATCTAGGCACCAAAGACTCTTCCCCGTCCATCAGCAGCCTCCAAAACAGAAAAGATGCAGCACATCTTAGAATTGTTACACATATCTACACGCACAACCCAGGCAGACACTGGCAAAAAGGTGTCCGAGGATGGGAGGAGAATGGAGGCGGGGAGCCCCCCCCCTTCTCCTAAAACCTAAGAAAAGGCTTGGAAGTAAGGTAGGGGAGATGGGTTACTCACCTGCTGTGTGGCCATGGGGTGGATGGCGGTTCTAATGCTGGATTTGTTGTCATGGTGGGAAGTGAGGGAGGGGAGGGAGAAGAGAGAGAGGAGATCCAGCCAGTTGCTGAAGGATCTGTGTGTGCGTGCAGCTCCGAGTCAAACCCCCCCCCCAACAAAAATGAGGAGTGGGGAGGAAAAAGGGGAAGAGGGGCGGGCCAATCTCCCCAAAAAGGCTATTACAAATTCATAGCAGCGGGGGCCCCCCCCCCCCCCCCCCCACGCGCGCGCACACACACACACACACACACACCCCTCTCCCCTTCTCCAGTTCTATCCTCCACTATTTCCTGCTTTGCCCTTGGGAGAAAACAAGGGAATGATATGTGAGAAGAGTTCTCCCACCCACCCCCCTCTCCCCACCGTGCAGTAATCAGAGAGGAAGCTCTCACGCTGTGCCACACACACACACCTACTGGGGAGGGGGGACACCTCCTGCACCCCTAATTTGGGATAGAGCTTTGGCATTCCCTAGGCGGGTGCACCCTCCAGTCCCCCCCCCAAAGCCCTCTTGGCTTCCTCTTGACTCCTCCTCCTCTTCTGCCCACCACTGAGATTTTCCTCAGTTGCCTGAACACCCACCCTCCCCTTTTCAAATGCAGGCAAGACCACTCCCCTCGCTCTTGCTGGAGGTGGAAGAAGAGGAGGAGGAGGAGGAGGGGGCTTTGCCCTTTCTGGCTTCTTCCTCCAACTACATCTCCCTTCACTTTGCAGCAGGAAGGGGAGGGGGGTGGTCTGAAGCTGCGCCCCCTCCCCAATGATCAGCTCACAGCCCGTCTTCCCTTTCAATTTAAGGGCTCATCTAGGGCATGGCTGGTCCTTCTCCTCCGCAGAAAGAGACCCGTCCCCCCCAACCCTGCACCGCGGGTCTCCCCCCCCCCACCCGTCCAAAGCAATGCCAAGGGGTTTTTTCGGGGGAGGGGTCTGTTCACCTTGCGAGACCCTGCGGGATTGGACGGGATGGGGGCTCTCTCTGCCCCTCCCCGTCCCTGCTAAGAGAGAGACTCTGGTGTCCCCCCCCGGTTGCTCCTTCCCCCAAGGGGGCTCTGCGCTGCCCTGCTGTCCCTCCCCCCACATAAGGGAGGGTTTTAAACCCACCCACCCCCGTCCAGGTTGGCAAATCGGGGAGTGGGCTTCAGACCCCGCCACAACTCCTCCAAGAGGAGAGAGCGGGGCTCCACGGTCCTGGCGGGGCCCCCTTCTCCCGTCTCTCTCATTCTCTCCCCTTCCTCCCTCTTCTCCTTTCGCATTCACTCACTCACTCGCGCATACTGACACACACATCTCACATACATCTTCGCGTACACACACACATACACACAAAACCATCATGGCGGCCCCAGGAAGCCCAAAAGGGAACACTCGCCGCGAGAGGGCGGATGGGAAAGGTAGTTTTTTCGACCCGGCCTGACACATCCGGCTCTATGAGCGCTGGGGAGAAAAAGGAACTACAGTTAATATGGCAGGCAAAGATTCCGCGCAAAGCAGTATGGGGAATGTGGTTTCATTTTCCGGCTTGGCGCTTTGGGTGCCTTAGTTGCTAGGGCCAAGAGAGGCGTTTTGGACTACAGCGGCGATGGGAGGCGTCCGCTGGACCCGCACTGCTTCACGGGAAGGGTAGTTTTGCTTAAGCCATCGTATCGTATTGCGTCTTGCTTTCGAAGCGAAATATTTGGACTCCATGTAAGATGACCACTAAGCATTATGGGAATGTATGTTCCTTCATATCTTTATACCATTGGCTCTTAAAACCTCAAGGAGAGCACTTGGACTACAATTAATATGGTGGGCCAAGGGGGGGGGGGGGGGGGAGAGAAGAAATTCAGTCGAATGGAATTGTGGGAAATGGTTTTAGCGTTTTCAAGACTGGCTAGATTCTCACTTTCAATTGAAATTAATAATTAACTGTTATTTGTGTTAATTAACAATTTACACCCTACACCAATCCACATGTGTAGAACCACCTCTTTCTGTTTTGGTCTTAAGTATGTCTGAGCATGTGTAGGCTTTTTTTTTTTTTTACGAAGGGGAAGATGTTTGCATTTTTTCTTAAATAGGGAAGAACTTGCAAGTAAAAATGGACGGGTAACCAAAGTGAATTTAGAAAAATAAAAGTCTAAGGAAAAATAATGGTTTTTAATACCATTATAGCATTCCATGTTCTACAATAGAAAGCACAGTTCCATTCCAAATTTATAATGGCCATTTTAATTTGGACTAAGTAATTAATCAATTTAAAATCATTGAATTATGTTCCAATGGCTTTAAACAAGATACAATAAAATTCATGAGCAATATTTCAAATGCTAAGATAAACATTTCTACACTGCTCAAAAAAATAAAGGGAACACAAAAATAAGACATCCTAGATCTGAATGAATGAAATATTCTTATTAAATACTTTGTTCATTACATAGTTGAATGTGCTGACAACAAAATCACACAAAAATTATCAATGGAAATCAAATTTAGCAACCCATGGTGGTCTGGATTTGGAGTTACACTCAAAATTAAAGTGGAAAAAATCACTACAGGCTGATCCAACTTTGATGTAATGTCCCTAAAACAAGTCAAAATGAGGCTCAGTAGTGTGTGTGGCCTCCATGTGCCTGTATGACCTCCCTACAATGCCTGGGCATACTCCTGATGAGGTGGTGGATGGTCTCCTGAGGGATCTCCCACACCTGGACTAAAGCATCCCCCAACTCCTGGACAGTCTGGTGAAACGTGGCGTTGGTGGATGGAGTGAGACATGATGTCCCAGATGTGCTCAGTTGGATTCAGGTCTGGGAACGGGCAGGCCAGTCCATAGCATCAATGCCTTCGTCCTGCAGGAACTGCTGACACACTCCAGCCACATGAGGTCTAGCATTGTCTTGCATTAGGAGGAACCCAGGGCCAACCGCATCAGCATATGGTCTCACAAGGGGTCTGAGGATCTCATCTCGGTACCTAATGGCAGTCAGGCTACCTCTGGCGAGCACATGGAGGGCTGTGCGGCCCCCTAAAGAAATGCCACCCCACACCATTACTGACCCACTGCCAAACCGGTCATGCTGGAGGATGTTGCAGGCAGCAGAAACGTTCTCCACGGCGTCTCCAGACCCTGTCACGTCTGTCACATGTGCTCAGTGTGAACCTGCTTTCATCTGTGAAGAACACAGGGTGCCAGTGGCAAATTTGCCATTCTTGGTGTTCTCTTGAAAATGCCAAACATCCTGCATGGTGTTGGGCTGTAAGCACAACCCCCACCTGTGGACGTCAGGCCCTCATACCACCCTCATGGAGTCTGTTTCTGACCATTTGAGCAGCCACATGAACATTTGTGGCCCGCTGGAGGTCATTTTGCAGGGCTCTGGCAGTGCTCCTCCTGTCCCTCCTTGCACAAAGGCAGAGGCAGCGGTCCTGATCCTGGGTTGTTGCCCTCCTACAGCCTTCTCCACATCTCCTGATGTACTGGTCTGTCCTGGTAGCGCCTCCATGCTCTGGACACTACACTGACAGACACAGCAAACCTTCTTGCCACAGCTTGCATTGATGTGCCATCCTGGATGAGCTGCACTACCTGAGCCACTTGTGTGGGTTGTAGACTTTGTCTCATGCTACCACTAGCACTGCCAGCATTCAAAAGTGACCAAACCATCAGCCAGAAAGCATAGGAACTGAGAAGTGGTCTGTGGTCACCACCTGCAGAACTACTCCTTATTTGGGGATGTCTTGCTATGCTTTCCACCTGTTGTTTATTCCATTTGCACAACAGCATGTGAAATTGATTGTCAGTCAATGTTGCTACCTAAGTGGACAGTTTGATTTCACAGAAGTGTGATTGACTTGGAGTTACATTGTGTTGTTTAAGTGTTCTCTTTATTTTTTTGAGCAGTGTATTATGAATGTATATTTTAATTGCAACTGAATAGCAGCATACCCAGAGCTAAAGCCTGAATCTGGCAATTTAAGCTTGCCTGTGACTTCACTACAGGTAGTACTCGAGTTAAGATCACAATTGAGCCCAAAATTTATGTTGCTAAGTGAAACATTTGGTGAGTTTGCCCCATTTTACAACTTTTCTTGCCACAGTTGTTAAGTGAATCATTGGAATTGTTAAGTTAGTAACATGATTGTTAAGTTAATCTGGATTTCCCATTGACTTTGCTTGTCAGAAGATTGAAAAAGGTGACCACATGACCATGGGACACTGCAACTATCATAAATATGAATCACTTGCCAAGCATCTGAATTTTGATCATGTGACCATGGGGATGGTTGCAAAGCTGTAAGTATGAAAAATGATCATATGTCATTTTTTTCCATGCCGTTGTAACTTTGAATGTCAGTGAACAGTCATAAGTCGAGGACTACCTGCATTTCTAAATAGAAGTGTTATTTGTATATCTCAGAATCAGCTGGGAAGGGCAACATTATGAAATAATGAAAAATGTCAGCCTAACATGTTTGTGCGAACATCTGTGTGCACATGTGTGGATTTGACATCAAAATGAAACCAATTACTAAATATACGTAAAATGATCTCAAGAAAAGTGATAACTATTGTAAGCATAGAGAAGTTACAGACTATTCTCTTTTAGGTAGAAATATATTTGAATATGTTTTGTAGATGTTTGTTGTGGTTGGTTGCAGTGAACCTGATGTCTGGATTTCTCACTTTTATTCACATATCAAGTTCCCCCAAGGAACTGAGATAGGCATATGTTCTTGTTTAATGGTGTTAAGAGTATCATAGCTGGATGTAAGTTGTTGCAAGTAAAGTTGTGTTTTGCAATTGACTTGATGGTGATTTTGTCAATCTGATGGGTACCCAGCTGATGCTCCAGATGTTTTGGGATAGCACCTTTGGTATTATCTTTGCTTTCTTTTGCCATAATCATCCTGCCTGTGTTTGTAGGTCTTTATACTTTGAATTCTTTTTCTGCTATCCCCAAATACATCTACTATCCATACTTTTCTATCTTTCTTATCCACAATTATTGAATCTGGGGTGCTTTGTGGTATTAACTCTTCACAACAATGTCACTGTTGACAATTCTTTATTTGGTGATTGGTGTTTCTATGCATTAATTTCTTCCCAAAAACCCAGGTCATAATAATTTATCAGTGTAGTATATCTCTGGATCCAAGTAGTGTGTGGCCTTTTGCAATTGACGGATGGAAATTTTGTCAATGCAGATTTTTTAAGTGTCATCCAATGT